TGCCAAGCCCTTTCTCCTGCATGTAGTCCTTCCTCTTGCTGATCAACACCTTGGTATGTTCTGCTGCTCCTCCAGGCTGGAGGAACTCCACATCATTGCCCACAGAGCTCCTTTACTGTCCTCCTTAAAGCAATCCCTTGCTGTGGTGCCTATAAAAATCCTGGCAGAGGTTAGGTATGTGGCATGCTGAACTGACTGCTTTTCATGTTGATGGATATTGTTTCATCATTTCCCTGTACTCTACCATATCTCTGTCTAGACTCTATAACATTGTGTCTTATAGTTAGAATGTAAGATGTCTGCTGCAGGGTCCAGCTTTTAGCTCCGTGCTTGTCTAGCATCTAGCTCAGTGATTCTCAACCAGGGTGTCATGAGATCCTGCGTAAGGTGCCACAGCAGCTGCCCCCTGTGCCAGGAGGAAAGCAATCACTCCTTTTCCTACCCAGGGCTGGGAATTCCAGCATGCTACTGCCAAGTGGTGCCCATGGCTGCTCCCCACCCCCAGTCAGTCCCTAAACTGGCGGTCCCTGCACTCCTACCATTATGCAGTATTGTGCGCACACATGTGCAGACGTGGAGCCATACTTTTCAGCCCAGCTCATCCCTCCTGCTGCTCCCATGCTTGGGGGTTGGCAGGAAGCACCACGGGTGCACATGGCTCCAGTCCCTGCAGTGCAAGTTGCTAGAGGAGCAGGCAATTCCTTCAGGTACAGAGGAGAGGCAGAGAGGAGGCAGACTCTGGAAAAAGAAGAGCATGGCAGGATGACCTCCTGCCCCTGTGGCCCTTACCTACACCAGGTAGATTTTAGCTCACTATTCCTTGATGGAATGCCACTGAATTCCAAAAAATGATGGTAGGTTGCTGTGCGGCTAAGTTTGAGAACCACTGATCTAGTTCAGTGAACTCCAGGTCCATGGTGGGTTCCTAAGCTGTCCTGCAATACAAATAATAATAGTTTTGCAGTGTGAATCAAGCTCATTGTTGCAGTTGAACAGAAATTAAAATCATCTTGGTGTGGCTGTTCCCTGACCTATGTTACAAATACTTGGGCAGGGCAGGGGATAAACAGGCCAATTTTATTTTTATCTTTAGCATCAACCCAGGAAAGGCATAACAGGCAGGTGGCCTTATATAATATTCCATTTATTTTATGGCCCTTGGCATACCCCAGAATTCAAAGAACAGAACTTGTCGTGTTTATTATAATTTTGCAAGATACCTGTCACCAAAAATCCATTCCCAGAGCCTTGCACCCAGGGTAGCATTTCCATAGCAGTCCTGTGCATTACTTCTCTGATTTTTCTGTCTTCTTTCCTCTACATTTCCTGCTAATAACTGTTTTTTTTAGAACTTTTTTTTCATTTATACTCAATAATCCTTCTGGGTTATAGATGAGACTTCAAGTATCTCCCCCAAACTCGAGTCTGATTCTGTGGAACCTGTTGTAACCATCCAGCTGCCAGAAGAGGAGGCTCCAGCAAAAGGGACCAAAAAGATTTCTCCCAGTGTCAGTAAGAACAAGGACCCACCTCAGAAAGGTTAGAAAATGGGGTCTTTGTCTTGGAGAGGAGGGGCTCAGTGCTGAGACAAAGGTCAGGGGACTTCACAGGTTCCATTGTGAAGAATGAGGTGAAGATAAATGCAGGTAATATGGGACAGAGACAAGAAAGGTGATTATTTGGTATTCAGCTTACCAGGATAGTAAATATTGCTGAAGGGCTTATTTCCAAACTCTAGGTTAGCAAACTAGATTGCTGTGTCGATTTTCCATCTTGCTGTTTCTGTCACAGCACGTGCCCAGTAGGGACTAGCTAAAAGGGGAACACAACTCTGGGCAGTGTGGTCTTGGGAAGGACAAAATAACTACTTTTTTGTGGGGTGTGATGGAATTAGGGGCCAGGAAAGACTCTCTTTCTCCTTGTGAATATTTCATTGGCTTCTGTGGATGGTTTTCATTTTCCTGTGAAGCAGTAGACATTGGCCACAGCTGGAGGTGGGTGTTTTGACTGGAGCATCACCACTGGGCAGCCTGGAGCATCACCACTGGGCAGCCAGCGGGAAGATCTGTGGGGCCAAGAGAAGAACCAACCAAAAGGAGGGGGGCTCAGTGAGATGGGATAGTACTCTGAGTTCTGACTTGTACCACTTCTCCCAGTACAGCAGAAACTATCGCAGTGCTGTTTACCCATTTTATTCAATTAATGTAGTGGGCCAGCTTCAGTAGGAGGTGTAAAGGGTGCTTAGGGTAAGGTCAGGTGCTTAGAGCACTTTGCTAGAAAGGAGAAGATGGGCTTAAATCCCCCCTTAGTGAGGGGGGCACTGGAACTAAAGTACCTAACCAGTAAGGCATTAGGGAAAAAGGCAGGAAAGTCATCATCTTCCTCCTGAATCTAGCACTTGTCATCATGGATTTCTATGACTAAAGCTCTGGCATTTCCTGGCATTTCTATACATGTGCCTGAGTGGCTGTGGGGCCATGGTGCAGCTACTGAATACACTCAGTAGGGATATGTGGGGCAAGCATAACTACACTGAATCCCAATCAGTGTGTAAATGCCCAAAACTGCACTTACATGGCTATGTATCTGCCCCTTAGGTACATGACAGGGAAATAGCATCCATCCCAAAGGATAGTGGTATCACTCCCTTTCAGATTATTGAGAGGGATTAATTTGCTTATGAAAAAAAAAGAAATGGTTAGTTAAGGTCAGCTTGAGGCACTGCTGCCTACATAGCAAGGAATAGCCTGTGTTGATTTGAGGCTACAACTACTGTTAGCCCCTTTTTCTTCAGCCCCTTTGAGCCTTTCTCCTTGCCCTTGTTTCAGAAATGAAGAAACTGAGCACAGGTGTCCTGGAGTCATCCTTTGTTACCACTCCAGTCCCTGTTTCTAGACTTTCCCACCCTTCCCCCACAATCTTCATGGAGACCATCCGCTTCTTGATGGAGGTCAATGCTCTACAGGTTGGTGCAGCATGAAATGGGGAAGGAAGACAGACTTAGGTTTTTAAACATTCTACAACATGTGACAGTTACTTGCCTGTGGAATTAGAGAGTGAGATCTCTGCAGTTCCCAGTGGGATGCTCTTCTGGTTCTACAGAGTGGGCCATGCAGCCTTAACGCTAAACACCAAAGGGTGCAGAAATGGGTCTTATGAAGTCCCACAAAGAGATGCCTACTTGGAGAATTCAAACCTAATATGGTCCTTAGAGATATCAAAATAATCTCAGCTAGACCAAGCAATGAGAGTATTTAAACTCGCCACTACTTTATTGCAAGGGTAATGTAAAACACAGGATTTTGCCCATAAAGGGCCTCTTTCATGGATTGTTTTGGGGTGAGGTATGTTGTTTTGATACATTGTGTAGCCCTGGCTGATCATTTTCTGAGGTCGAATAACATTCTACATGTGGTCAGAGTGGCCTTTCAATGGCACATGAAGTATCCCCCATCCAAAACAATCACTCTGACTCTGGGTTTCATTGAAACAAATACTCTTTGTGACCTTCATTGGAGCCACCATAATTTAGGCATCTTTCAGTTCAGACAATACTGAATGACTTCTTTCTGAAGGACCGTTAGTGCATAGGCCCACTTATCCATATCACTCTAAGAAATATTCACACTCCCTTGTAGAGAATGCATAAACGCAGTGCATGGGTAATATTCCAAAGGAGCACAAAACACTTTTCAGACTTAATAAACTTATATATAATGTTGGCCATGGCGTGGGGTGCCCAGTGGGGATCAGGGAGGCTTTAGAGTTTTACTGTCCAGTACTCTGAAGTCCCATCGCAGAGCATCAAGTTCCTTTTGCCTGGCAACTTGCCTTCCAGTCCTACCCACTGTGACCTCCCTGTTCACCTGGACCTACTATAACGTAGTGATTTTCACACTGCCTGACTTTTGAGTTTGTCTATAAAGGCACATAATCTGATGTGTGTTTTAAAATAGCAGATCAGGAAAACTAAAAACAATAGTTAGAATTTCAAAGGCAAAAATGCATTATATCCAGTGTCTGAACTGCTGATATGTCTTCTTGTCACTAATATTAACAGAAGCCTAATAGAAACATGTAAACTCACCCATGATATTATATGTGTATTCCTGTATGCAGTGATGAGGGAGGGCTCTGGCCCTTTCCTGTAGAGAAGCCTGGTTGTCTCCATACTTCACCATAGTGAGTAGCAAGACAGGGGTTTGGCTGTCCGTGGCACAGTGTCATTATAAAGCCTGTGTGTTGCTTTTCCTTCCAGTTTGTTCACAGGGCACTAGCCCATGAGCTGCTGTGCCTTCAGGGAGGCCCCAGCTGTGACTATTACCTTGTGCTGGCCCAGACTCACATGGTCAAGAAGGACTTCCCCAAGGCCGAAGAATGTCTCCAAGAAGCTATCCAGATTGACTACCTGGTAATTGTTACGTCTCTTTCAGCTGTCAGCATATCTGTGCTGAGCCTGCTTCATTCATCTCCCCCTTTATTTAACTCATCATTTTGCATTCTAGTTGGTTTTCCACACCAGGCAGCACATGTGAGTGAAGATTCTTCTTCTGTACATGTGCACATTTATCTGCCTTTCTTTCCTGTCCTGTTCCTTTCTCCACATGCAAGTATGTGTATTTCTCTGTTTCATACAGATACAATGTTGACATGCAGGTGAAAGGGAGATGCAGCCTTTGAGAATAAGTCAAGCTGAATGGAGCCCATAAGCAGTAACTGAACTGGTTTTTGTTTATATTACTCTAATTCTGAAGAGCCTTAGTCCCAGGCCATGGATGGTGCTGTTGTGCAAGCAACCTTTGCTATAAATGAAAACTTGTAATACAGTTATATATCCAAATGGTCTTTGTCATCTCCCATTCTATTGATCATATAAAGTGTTATCTCTCACCCACTTCTATCAGGCTCAATACATCTGACTTTTGACTTTGCACAGAATCCAAATGTTTGGGCTCAGAAAGGCCACCTCTGCTACCTAAGTGGAAACCTCAGTGAGGCAAAGGAGTGCTATGAGCGAACCATCAGCTTTGTGACAGATGCTGCTGAGATGCACTTTGTTTACCTGCGATTGGGGTCCATCTACCTAGAAGAAAAAGAGGTGAGGAGTGGAACATGGGGGTCAAAAAATGGGAGCTAACCCAGGGAAGAGAAACTAACTCTTCTGGGCCCTGGTCTAAAGGTCAGGTGCAGCTCCTGTCTGCATGGCTGCAGATCAGACAATACAGCAAAGCCTCAAGGAACTAAACTGCTTAGAGTTTTTATGTATATAATGACTAGCTCAACAAGGCTTCAGTAGTACTGGGATAATGATGATGCTGTTATCTTTTTATAGCACCAGATGAGCTCTAAATAGTTATCATCATTATTGCTATTCTGAGGCAGAACTGCTTGCTACATCAGATTTGTGTAAGGTCTTAGCCACTGCTGTAGCACAATAGCAGTTGGATAGTAGCATCTCTAATGAGTCCTATTGGAAATGAAGGGGCTGGAGACTGGAGAGCTCCTGTAGACAGAAGAGCAGCCATGGAGCTGTGAATGGCTCCATAACAAAGATCTATCAAGTTTCTCTCTTCTCTTGGCAGTATGACAAGGCAAAGCAAATCTACCTACTGGCCTGTAAGAAGTCAGCATCCTGCCTTACCTGGCTGGGAGTGGGAATCGCTTGCTATAGGGTAAGAGCACAAGGTACATTGCATCCATGCTTGGTCATTCTGTAGATATTGCATAGAACTTGGGAAGCTGAAATTGGGACTTGGCTTTCCATTATGCCCCCTTTTCCTTAAGCAGAAACTTTTCATCGAAACTGTCTGTGGAAGTAAAGCTCTTTAGATCTGTTTTTGGGTACTGGCCACACAACACTGTATGCCAGCATGGTCACAAGTGTGAGGCCCAGCTTTTTTCCTATCCAACTACAGTACAGACGCAGTGTTCAGCAATGACCCACTCTTTGGGTCCCCCAGAATTTCCTGTCTGGGTATGTCATGCAATCTCTGTTCAGTACTCCATGTTAAATGAGTGCCGTTCTGCCCGCAACTTCAGTATCAACAGAAAGGAGCCTCTTCCATTGGCCTAAATTGCTTTTTCAAGCTGGAAGGAATATAGAGAAGAATTCAGTGGCTGCAAAAAGCTGCTGAGCAGACCCCTTTCTTTTATTAAAGGTATGAGCATTGTCAGAGTGGAAGGCCTCTAGCCACAACAGATGCAGCATTGGTCCAGGGACTCCCTGGCACTGGAAGTACTGTCCTCAGAAAGTGAGTGGGAGAGTTCAGGGACAATCTGTTCTCCTCCTCAGCCATCCTAAGTATTCTAGGTGGAAGCAAAAGAGTTACTGCCACTTCACTGAGAATAGCCCAAGCTAATTTGTAATTAAATCCCTGCTCGAAATTCACACTGCCGTGTTCATATCATTATGCAAGTCAGAGGAGTATGGGGCCAGGAGCACTTCAGAAGACTTTTGTTGCTGGAATTTTTCCAATTGTCCTATCAGTGGCTTGTTGAATTTTGAAGCATGTTTGACCGACCACCTGTTCAAGTTTTGCTCATCTTTCTTGTCTCCCTCTGTAAAGCTGAAAGAGATGGGAGAGGCAGAAGAAGCCCTTTCTGAAGCCAATGCCCTGAATAACAACAACGCTGAAGTGTGGGCTTATCTAGCCCTAGTCTGCATGCAAGTGAGTGCCCAGCCAGCCCGCTACTACAGCATCAAGTGTGACAATGTGTTCTGCTTTATCTACAACTACTTACATGTCTGAAAGGCCTCTTATACGTTCCAGTGGCAAAAATAGATTCAGGCCTGTTATTCTCAGAAACCACCCCTCACAAAAAAAGGGAACAATCTGATGACAAAAGAAATGACTTTTCCTTTTTGTTTCCCATTACCCTTTCTCCTACTGAATGTTTCCTAGCTGAGGCATTCCTATCACCAAAAGCCATTAAAATATGTCCCTTTGCAGCAACTGAAACACCTGATCTTGTCCTGCCAAAAAAGTTTCTCACTTGCTGCTGTTGTTTTCCAGGAGGGAAGGCAGCTGGAAGCAGAGCAGTGTTACAAATACACAGTGAAGGTTTGTATTTTTTCTCATCCCTTCTGCTTTGTTGCATTTGGGTGCAGAAAACAGAATGAATAGTTTAGCTTGAGGTCTGCTGTTGATTAAAAAAAGAAACCACATTTATTTTGCTTGACTTGGGGGTT